ATTTGCAGGATATTTTAAGGAGGTTAAAAGAATGTAGGAATTGTTTCCTTTCATGTCTGTAATGAAGATGGTTCCTTCCTGTTGATCTGCCCAAATAATTTCTTCATTTATCCAATTTATTGCCATTCCAGAAACATTTTTCTCTATATTGCATACCGTCTGCAAAATCAAATTTCAAAATCATTAACCTTTCTGATTCACAACAAATTGCTTTATAGCATATTTTGAAGTCTATAGTCTTAGTATTTGTTGTTTTGATGCATTCTCCACATTATTTAAGTGATAATATAGTCCCAAAGTGCCTGTTTTGATGCAGCAACAACACACTGCCTTGTAAATATCTCTCTAGGCAAACTATATCATAGCTTTGGAATTGAAAATTATCATAAACACTACTGAAATTAGGAGATCAACCATAAGCATTAATAATTTCAACTCTAGGAGCAGTGTGATTTTGATGCTTAAAGGTAGTTAATCCAATTTCATTTGTTAATAGAATCTTCCAGACCCTAACCAGAAGTCAATTCCAAGCCTTGCTAAACTGTGGCAAGATTCCAGTGAGGTCTGCTAGAGCCATGAAGTGGAAGCATTTCTGTTGTTTTCTTTTGGAGACAGGGTCTCATGTAACCCAGGCTCGAACTCTCTCTCTCTGTGAGGATGACCTTGAGCTCTGGGTCCTCCTGTCTGAGTGCTGGGATTACAGGCCTAACCACAACACCTGGTTTATGCGCTATTGGGGATCAAACCCAGGGCTTTGCTGACAAACCACCTGAGCTACAGCCCAGCCTCAGGAAACATCTCTTCTTAGGTCACCCCATCTTCTGTCCCCACCACTCTTCCATCATCTCAATGTCAGAGAAGCAGGACTTTTCGTATGACTTGGGCTGTCCCCTGCCTTCTGGATAGAAACAACCAAACAAAAGCCTCTGGATCGCTGATTCCAGCCAAGGTGAGTCAGCTGATCCTCTTGGGGCTGGAAGGTGTAAGGCAGACAGAAGGCCTGATTGTTCACCACTGCAGCGTCCTGTGGTATAACAGCCCCACCACTGCAGAGTTCTACCTCCCTGCAGGACATCACTAAGCTTGAAGTTGGGTAGAGAAGGCTGTCTCAGAGCTGTGCTTATCTATATTTCAAGCAAAGCAATCCAGCCAAACCCTTTGACAACGGCTGATAGAGTCACAAGTCAGTTCTTCCATTTAAATGGTTTTCATTTTAAGAGTTGTGCTTGCTTGTAAACAATGTTTTAACCCAAAGGAGGGGATGTAATGGTGGGCTTTTAGGCATCAGATCAATCTTTCCCTAAATGACAATGTAAATTCACTACTACTCATGCTTTTCCTTGTTCAGCAACAGGAAGCCCCCAGCTCCTCAGACTCAAGATTTCCAAACTCTTCTACCACAAAGCTGAAGAACGCTAAGCAGTCAAACATGTTAAAGGAGGTCAGCCAGCATTTAGAGATGCGATAAAACAGATTTGCACGTAATTGAAGCTCTTAGGAATAACTGGAAGAAAGGGTTGGCTTAAAAAAAAAAACCAACAGTGAACACTTTGTGCTGGGAATAAATGCTGAAGGTTTCACTAATCTCCTGCTTGCTCCATCTTCAGAGTATCCAGAGAACATCCCTCTTGGGACTCATCTAAGGGTTCCGCCAGTTTAAGAGAAAGATTAAGGATCTTTTGTATGTACTTTAAACACAACACTTTTTATCTGTCTTCGGCTTCATTTTTTATTTCAGAGTACAAATACTTTGAGACTACAAAGGGAAAATTTTTTCTTCCTAAATGTCAGGTAATTATTTGCCCTACATGACAAACATTTTATAGAGACAAAACAGGGTTCCTAGACCTCAGCACTATTGACTCTCCAAGCTGGACAGTTCTCTGTCATGGGGCTGTCCCACACCGTTAATGGTGCTGATAGCAGCCTTGCCCTTTGCCCACCAGATGCCAAGAGCAGATACCTTTCACTTGTGACAACCAAAAATGTTTCTAGACACTGTCAAATACTCCTGGAAGGGCCCACAGTTGTCCCCAGTGGGGTAAAAATCATCATGAAAATAATGCTTTGAGCCATAAAGTATCTTTGTTTATCTCCCACGCAAGTACCAAGTACTGCTTATGCATTCAAACTTCAGTATGTCGTATTTGTCAGCTTGTATATAAATTCCTCACATACCATGGGTAATGGTACTTTACCTCTTGTCTTGACCCATTAAGAAAAACTCTTTGTAAAAGTTTTCTTTCTAAATCCACCCAATAGAGTCTTTCCTCCTTATAGTGAAAATCCATGATCACAGAGATACCAGCATCCACCACCAATTGCTCGTGATTTGTTCCTTCTGAATCAATCCTAAAGATACTATTTCCATGGGAAAAAATTAGGAAGGGTACAGGACCTGAGTGGGAAGAAAAAAAACAACTTGTTTATTTCCAATCATAATTAATCTGACCTAAATAAAACTTCCCGAAATAAAATACTTCCCTATGACAACCGACACACACAGAATTATTATAAAATTCCTAGTTTTGTATTTTTTTATAAAAACTGTGATGTACAGAACAAGGAGTTCCTGTGGATCTTTAGAAATCATTTTGTTTATAAATGGATTATAAGGAATGAGCATTGCCACATTATGAAAAATTAATTACTTAAGGAGAAATATATCTTCTATTTGCCTGTCTTAAAAGAAACCAGTGTGCTACTGTAGAGAGTGTGTGTGAATGCTTACTTTATTGTATAAACTGGAAATATAATTATTGTATTAGTTACTTGGTGTTGCTATGTTCAAATGTTCTACAGAAAGAACTTAAGGGAAGAATTTTTCTTTTGGACCCAAGATTCAGAGCATTCTAGTCCAAGCATACAGAGGGCATAACAGCACAGTTAGTTTGTGGCAGCAGGACTATATGGAGAAGGATGTTCACATCATAGTAGACCAGAAAGCAAAGTGTGACAGGAACAAGAGACTGGTTGGAAGGTCTTTCGAAGAACTTCCTTACCTATTCTGCTAGCTAGGCTTCATCTTCTAAAGTTTCCACAGTCTCCCAAAATACCACAGGAACTTAAGGATAAAACTTTTAAATTATGAGCCTGTGGAAGAACATTTCCAATTCAAACCATAACAAGTATGGCTATTATTTTGGAAATAGAAGCTTTGTCTTAATGTTAGAGCCATCAAACTAACACACAGAATGTGGTAAAAAGCAGACAGAAGTCAAGCAGAAGCACAAAAATTGCAATGCTGTCTTTTAAAAGTCAGGAGACTGGTTCCATTACCACATAAAACACAGGATGTCTAATTTGATTTGAATTACATATGCAGACAAAATTTCTCTGACCTAAAAATGTGAAGTCCCTAAAGCGCCAGTATATCAAACATTGAGCCACAAGTGGAAAACACCATACCTGATCCCATAGACAGACTAAAATCATCTTCAAATTATGTGTATAAGGCATAAATAAAGCATAAATGAATTCTGCCTTTAAACATGGATCCCTTTCCCAAGATACCTCAGTATATTTATGTAAATATTTCAAAGTCCAAAAACAAATCTAAACATTTCTGACCCCCAAGCATTGTGAATAAGAGATAATGAACCTAGTGTTGTATGTAGTCACACTAAAAACTTATTCCCTACCTGGAATTTTCATTTAATTCAAGGGCATCTTGAATTTTTGTTTGCTAAATCTAAGTGGTGGACCGGCCTGGTTCCAGCAGAGCCCTACTCTGTGCCCTAACTCCATGCCTTTCCTGTCCTAGGTCATGGTCACCTACCCACTCTGATTCCACTTGTCAGTATCTGCACGGGAACCCAATCCCTTCTTCAGCATTAACTGCTGGATGACTACAGAAATTTGTCTCTTATGCTCTGCAGTGAATTGGGATAGTTCACTGTCTGCCGCTAGGCCGATTTCCTTAGCTTCTCCTGGCCAAAAGGGAGCACACTCCTGTCGGCCCTGAATTTATAAAATGATGGGACTCCTGAGGTGAGAGGAGAACCATAGGACAATTCTAACATAGTCTTGCCACCTTTATTGTTGGCCTTAGTCCATCATGTTTGACTATTAAGACTTCATACCTTAATGGAAAGTAATAAATGGCTTTATTGTTCTAAGGATTAAACGTGATGGATTAGCACACTTACTCAGGGGTCATGTTCCAAAGCTAGAAAGCACTAACTCCACTTCAGAGGAAACACCAAAATACAGATACTGGAGGAAGTGTCAGACCATGATAATTTGAATAGGTTGCCACTGCAGATGTCTAATGAGTCAAAGCCTCTTTGAAGGTCTTTGTGCAAACACCAGCCCCTGCGCAGAGGGGAAGGGCCCATGCTCTTTTGCCACTGAAGTTGAAAAAGCGCAGAGACACCTTCAATGACAAGCAGAGGGCACCCACTGGCAGAGAACCAGGTTTTGTGTAATGGAGAGTCTTTATTGTCAACTTGATTGGGTCAGTCTGCCAGGGTATTTCCAGAGAAGATGGGGGAGGTGTGTATGTGCTAATGTAATCAACAGATTAGCCCCCTGGTAGATTCATAATACAATGTGTTGACAGGAGGTAATGAAAAGTAGGCATGGGGTAACTTGAAGGAGTAGGTCACTATGAGTAAGCATATCCTGCCCAGGCCTCTTCTTCTCTGCCAGTTCTGTTTCCTGTCAGCTTCTAACACAAGCTCCTGCTGCCGTGATGGTCTCTCACAATGGGCCCAGAAACACATAAGGAAGCAGCCATGGACTGAAAACTGAAACTGTGGCCAAAATAAATGCTTCCTTCTTAAGAAGGAACACAAAAGCCTGACTGACACACCTGACTTCCAGTGCTTGCTGACAAGGCTCTCTGAACGCCACAGTTTCTCCTACCTATGGGATTATTAGAGGAAGGAAAATGAGGTCACAGATGTAAAAATGTTTCATTAATGATGGAGAACTACATATAAGGAATTTACTGTTATTTTTTCCCAAGCCCCTACTACACAGATTTGTGCCACTGTCTCAAATAGAACCCAAGGACTGGAATGCTGGTATAATGTGTTCCATAGAGAAGAGGCAGCCTATGCTTACAGCTACTAATTGATGGACCACAGACTGGATACAGGCCTGCAGACAAGGGTCTTTGGTATGTATATCATGCCTTCTCTATAAACAACAAATATGTCCAACACATCTAATTAATTGTCTAGTGCATTGATACATTATGTGAACAACAAAATGTATACTTATAAATTACATGGGTAATTTCTATGTTTAAAAAGGGAAAGACATTCTAACTCATTTATTATTCCTCACCCCAGATTGTAATGCACTCCTTTGCACATAATACTCAAAACTATTTGAATTAATTAATGAAGAAATAACTTTTATTTGCCTGAAATTTCACCAATAGGAATAAAGTCAACGAGACTAGTAGATCTATCAAATTCATAAAAGCAGAGTCTAGCCTGCAGCAGGCATTTTCTAACAGCACAATGAGTCCAAGTTTTCAGGTAATGATCTTGTTTATCTTCATACAATACCACAAACTAGACAGGCAATCAGCAAATAAAAAAGAAAAGAGAAATTGACAAGTATATACTTAAAATATATCATTAATTCACATAATATTTCAAAATACAGAATAACTTGAAAAATGCTAAACAGAAATTTGAATAATTAATATATCTATCCTCAAATTTTCCCCATCAAAGGATGAAAATCCAGGAATTATCACAAGATTTTAGAACCGGGAGACACTAGCCAGGCCCAGTGGTCCAAATCTGTAAACCCAGGTACTCTGGAAGCTGAGTCAGGAGGATCGCAAGTTTAAGCCTCGTCTGTGCTATAGGGTAAGTTCTGGGCCAACCTAGGCAATTTAGTGATGCCTTGTCTTAAAATAAAAAGTTGAAAAGAGGAATCAGGATGTATCTCAGTGGTAGAGTGCTCCCCTAGCATGTGGAAGGCACTAGGTTCACTCCCCAGTACTAGGGAGAAACAACAGCAACAACCAGAAGACTCTAGATACTGCCTATTTTAGCCTTTCCCTAATTGTTCGAAAGCTCCTCTCTCTCTCTCTGTTTCTCTCTCATCTCTCTCTCTCTGTTTCTCTCTCTCTCTGTTTCTCTCTCTCTCTCTCTCTCTCTCTCTCTCCGTCCCTCTGCCAGATTCAGTCTCTTCTAATTCCAATTCACTCAGTGCTGCAAATCTGTTTTTGAACAGATGCTGCAGGTGACTCATTCCTACTAGATAACAGCAGAATTAAAGTCAGAACTCTGTCCATCCATCCCTTCTCCGCAGTGTTCTGAGTTGTCACATCAAAACATCACTATCCTCACTTCTGCAGTTGGTTCTAATTCTAACAATTCAAATTCCACTTCCTTGAAGACACTGTTCATTTTCTTCATGATCAGCATCATTTAGGGCTAGGGCTGAGTGTTTGTAGACATGAAATACAATACTTTTTAAAATAAAACAGAACCTTTTGAAGATTAGGCTTGGTGAAATTATCACCATTCTGTTCTAGCACTGAAAGTGCCAAGTCATTTGAGGTTTCTCACACCTCTCAACAGCTCTGCAAACATCAGGGTGTGGTAACGTGTGGATCTGCATATGAGCAGAGTGTGCATGTTTAAACAGCCAGAACATCCCCACAGCAAACCTACCGCCCTATTTGGGGTACAGTAAGGCAGACATACATAGAAAAGTTAAAACACGTTTCTTTTTTTTTTCTTTTTAAGATTTATTTATTTTTATGTATATGGGTGTTTTGTCTGCATGTATGTTTATGTACCATATATGTGACTTGTGCTGGCAGAAGCCAGAAGAGTCTCCTAGAACTGGAATTACAGACAGCTGTGAGTTACCATATTGGTGCTGGGAACCAAACTTGGGCCCGCTACAAGAACAGCCAGTGCTTTTAACCAAAGTCAGCTCCCCAGTCCCCAAACCACATTTCTAAGGAACATAAACGAAAGACTACAAACCAATGACCTAATTTCTCAAATGTTCTCAAGGGAGTAAGTTGCCACCTAACTGATCAAATCAGATTAACAGAAAAGATGTGGATTCTGGCCCCTGTCCTCACCACCACAGGTGTCCGGCCTAACACGCAGAAATAGAGAAAAGGGTGTAGAACAAAGATGAACAGGGAGGAGGAGTGGTTTATCCTCCGGTGCCAGCGGCAGCCAGCTCTGCCGACCACCAGTCACTTCCACTCAAATTGCCTAGGCTTGTTCTCAATCCTTGGGACTGTATTTGAAGCCTAGCAGCCTCTGCCACGTTCGTTTCTTTTTTTTATTTTCATTAGGACATCTTGATCTTAAATGGGCTATTACACATTTTAATGTTCCATGAAGGTGGGTGGTGAGTAATAAGCAGCATCTTGTTTGTTATCTGGGGAGCAGCACTTGGCATCAATTCATTCAGTGCATCCATCACTGGGTAGCACTAGGCAAGCACTCCCATCACCCTGTTATATGGTATACACTGGAGGTAGCTGCCTTGCCATGGATCCCAGGGCCAGTAGAGTCAATGTGAGACAGGAAACCATGTCTTTCTCATTATAGAACCTAGCTTCTACACAGGCTGCCCTGCTGACCCCAAGCTAAACACACCAGAAACTGAGTGTTTAGCATACTGGAGTTCAGATGTGTCAAGGAACACATGCCAGGAAAAGCTGTTTTAGGCATATTCCTGATAAGGCTGGATTTTCCACCTCCATGTTATAAAGGAGGATGCTCTAAGTAAATGTCCTTAATTCCATCACTTGGATGCTTTCCATCAAGTTCTACAATACACTGTAGCCCAGATGGACACCTTCTTGCATCCCTTGCCTCCTTGCTCCATCATGAAAGCTGCAGTGCATATCTTCATATCCTTGGGACCCTCTCACCTCAAGATCACATCTACAAAGTCCCCTTTACAGCCATGTGTGGCAGTCTATGCCTGTAATCCCAGCACTTAAGAGGCTGAGGCAGCCAAGAGTTCAAGGTCAGCCTAGGCTGCATAGCAAGAAGCAGAACAAAGGGAAGGAAAAAGGGAGAGAATGAAGGAGGGAGGGGAGAAAGGGAGGGAGTCCTTTTTCCATGTAATTGCAACATTCACAGGCACCAGAATTAAGACATAGAGTGAGTTTGGAGTGTATCTCAGTGGTAGAATACTTGTTTGTCATACACAATTCCCAACACTGGGGGAAAAAAAAGACATAGCTTTATTTGGGGGTCATATTCAGCTTCTAATAGGTTAATGATTGCTAAACAAAAATGGGAGCCAGTGTTTTGGTCTGAGCTCCTGCAGATCAAAACAATGACCACTAGTGGGAGCCACTAGACCCCAACAGACCAGACCAACATGGCGTCTACCCTGTCAAATCTAACCAAACTGAAGATTGAAAAGAACAGTTATATACCCCCCAAAGAACAACCATTCTTCCTCAAAATAGGCAATGCCTTTCCTACCTGAAACAATAGGAAGTCCTCTCTGCTGTGTCTTAAAAAAGATGTAACAATGGTCACCAATTGTTTATTGCTCTGTTTCCATACTCCCATCTTTTAAAAATCTATTTTTTTTTGTAGGGTATAGTGGCACATGCCTTTAATTGGGAGGCAGAGGCAGGTGGATTATGAGTTTGAGACTAGTCTGGTCTATACGATAGTGAGTTCCAGTCTTGTCAGGACTACATAGTGATATCCTGCCTCAAAAACAAACATACAAAACAAAGCAAAACAAACAAAAAATACCCCGTTCTCCTGCCATTGTCCATTTTACTAAGATGGAGGCCGTAATTTTCTCTTTTGACATGAAGTTGAGCATCTTTTCATGGACTTACATACCTCCCTGTATCTTTTCTGTTATACATCTAAGTCCTTTGCCTGTTTTTTAAAGTTGTTTTCAGGCTGGAGAGATGGCTCAGCGGTTAAGAACACTGGCTGTTCTTGCAGAAGACCCGGGTTCGAATCCCAGCACCCACATGACAAATAACAACTGTCTGTAACTTCAGTTCCAGGGGATCCAACAGCCTCTTCTGACCTCCACGGGCTTTGCACGACACGGGTGCCCTTACCTACATGCAGTCAATACACACATACACATAAAAATAATAAATAAAATATAAAAAAATTTAAGTTGTTTTCTTGTTGTTGATTTAAAGTTTAAAAAATATATTTTGATAATATATCTTTTGCCAGATAACTGAAAATGTTTCCTCCACCATGAGCTTGTTTTTCACCTTTTACATTCTGCAGAGCAACTTTCAAATTTTCATGAAATATAATTTATTAATTTTCTTGTCGTAAATTCTTCACTTGGTATTGTTTTTCAGAACTCTTTGCTTAACCACAGGACAAAGATGTTTTCTTTATATCTTGAATTTATGTCTAGGATAGATTTTCAATCAACCTCTCAAGCACTGTAAGCATAGGTTACCATGCCCAGCTCAAAACATTTTGATATTTAGTTAAAGAAATGCTTTATTGGCTGTATTTGCTTATCCACAAAATTTATTTTTTAATTATACCTGTCAATCATTTACAGTTTTTTTTTTTTTTGTCCTTTTGAGATAGGGTCTCCCTGTAGCCCCAGCTGACCTGGAACTCACTATGTAGACCAAGTCTGACCTTGAACTCACAGAGATCCTCCTGCCTCTGCCTCTCCAGTGCTGGGATTAAAAGCATGCACCACCATGCCTGACTTATTTATAAATTTTGTTGTGACCTTAGCAATGGCTATTTTTCCAGATTTTAGTAAAAAAAAAAATGCAAAACTTGAAAATACAAACCCTACAGACAAGTGGTTAAAGGGAGTGGGAAATTCTTCATTTTTTACATTTATCCTTTATCTGGAAGATTTTTCAAATAGTTTTGAGAACTGTTCATGAGGGTTCAAAGTGTACAATTCTGGCATTGATTCAACAACAACAGCAAACGACAATGAACATTTTCAGTGTCTTTCCAAGCTACCGTCTTCACATACAACTTTCTAACAATTATCGTTCACATTTTCATTCATCATTAAATATCACCTTCAACTTGGAGACATAGTTTTGTTATTTTAGGTACTTTTTGAGTCTCGTAGTACTGACACCCATTTGGAATCACAAAAAAAAAATTTTTTAGAAAAGAAAATACCTTTTTTTTTTTTAAAGACTAATACGTAACATTTGGTTGTTCTCCTAAGTGTTTTGTCTCCAGATACTTTGTGAAAATCCAGTAAAACAACTATTTCCATGGCCACTCCCCACCCAGTAGAAAGGATTAAAAAGAGTCTAGTAAGGTGTGTTTACAGATGCGACCTCATCAGCGGTATCTGTGGCACTTCCCAAATTCCCACTTTCTGCATCTTGCCCCGCAGCCTGTCCATGCTCCCTGTGGAACCTCTGGATCACTTTCCTACGGTGCTGTGAATGCAACAGCTCTGCTGCCACTGGGACACTCACACTACGGTTTCTCACAAGATATGTGACTTAGGAGAATTTTTACTGAGAAAATGTCTTCTCGTCTCCTTCAGTTGGCTGAGGAAAAGACATGTACGTTTTGACATTTAATTCAAGAAATGCTTTATTGGCTGTTTGTTGAAACACAGCTACATACAAAAGTGACTGACATCAGGGGCCCTGGAGGCAGAATGCTTCTGATGATTCTGTTGGCTCCAATAGTCTCGGCTAGGTGACCTTCAGCTCAGGATTCACCTCTCTGCCTGTTGGCTTCTTCATCTTCAGAATTTAAAATGGAGGTGATCATAATTCATGGGACTGATAGAAGGAATAGATTAACTCAGCTAAAGTGAATTCATTAGAATCTTGCCTGGCACATAGGTGTTCATGATAACTGTGAGCTGATGGCCCAAGCACATTAGAGACCCTTGCTTCGACTCCTCTGTGAAGTTTGTTCAGTATCCATTTCATCAAGTTTCTGTGATGCTTTCTGTACAGTGGTCCCTGCTGGCAGTGGCTCATGTTTCAGTGCATTGGATGTGCTGAGATATAGTTCCTTGCCTTTTATTTTAGTGTTATTTTACCAATGCCAGAAGCAGAAGGAACAAGTGCTTCAAGTCAAGACGTCTTATCAGCAAGCTTAATAAATGCGGTCTTAAATGGCTTAACTTTGAACACAACTGTAAAAAATTATGAAGCAATGTTTTCTAATTCTGGACACCTATTTCTAAGTTTCTTTCTTATTCTGATGACTGACTAGCATTTCAAGGCTTATTTTATACTTTTCTGAGATTCACCACTAATTAATAGTAAGTATAAGTCTATTTTTCAGACTGACTAATTTCTCTTTGAGCCTCGTGTTTTTAATAAAATCAAAGAACTTTTCATTTCTTTCCCCTTTTATGCAGCCAACTAAGAGCTCACGTTTCTCTGCGGCTTCCAACAGTAGTCCCCTGTCTGCCATCTGCACTTTATTTGAATAAAGAGTTTAAGCCATATGTTGATTTAGAAAGATTTAATTTTAAGAAAAACAAATAATAATGGGTCAACTGTAGCCCACTTGTCTCTGCACGTGGAGCCCACCATCCCTAAGGGTCCCTTATACTTCCTACCAGAAACATCACTACCACTGCTACCCAAATCTTGGCTCTACTTTCAAATTGTTTTCAATAGGGAGAGTGAGATATATTAAGAAAATTTTCAGGGGCTGGAGACATAGCTCAGCAGTTAAGAGCACTGGCTGTTCTTGCAGAGGACCTAATTTGGTTCCCAGTACCCGCACAGTGGCTTACAACTGTCCATAACTCCAGTTCTAGGAGCTCTGATGCTCTCTTCTGGCCTCTTCAGGCATTGCATGCACATACATACATACACATTTTAAAAAAGGAAATTTTCTTTTGTTTGTGTATACAGATGTGTGTGTGGCGTGTGTATGTTGTGTGTGCACGTGCATTCACGTATGCTGCATGTGCAGAGGCCAGAGGTCGACTTCTGGTATCTTCTGTTGTTGCTCTCCATCTTGATTTTTGAGACAGAGTTTCTCACTGAACTTGGAGCTCTCTGTTTCAGCTAAACTGGCTGGCCAGCAAGCCCCCAAGATCTTCCTGTCCCCACCCTCACCCAGCACACCACTGCACCCAGCTTTTATGTGGATGCTAGGGATCTGAACTCAAGTCCTAGTGCTTGTACAACAAGCACTTAACCACTAAGCCGTCTCCCAGTCCTGAGAAAGATCACCTCAGTTTCCTTTCTTAGTGTCCTTTTCCTACACTTGGCAACTATCTATATACATAAGACTGACTCTGAGTAATCTTTTTGCCACAGTCCCTAGCAAATGGGACAGCTGGGATAGAAATAGAATGGTGGTGTAAAAAGCTACCCACTGCCAGGAAGAATCTACAGAGCAAATGTACATTCTTAGTGCATCTAATATCCAACCACTCCTTCACAGCAAGGGTCAGGGTTGTGAAGCACAGTGGGAAGGAGGTGGGCAGACAGTGGGACAGCTGCTTTCCAAGGACTTGAATCGAGGTTTCTGTGGTCACTGTCACTGCTGTTCATTCTGATTTTATCATTAGAAACTGCAGCATAAAAAAACTAACATTTTGTTCTCTAGTTTCAGGATTGCTTAAATTTGTACTAATAACTGAAGCTAAACACTAAACTACTGGCTCTGATGGTCTGCCAGCATAGACCAGAGACACATGGGCTGGAGAGACGGCTCAGTGGTTAAGAGCACTGGCTGCCCTTGCAGAAGACTTAGGTTTGATTCTCAGTACCCACGCGATGCTGGCAACCATTCATAACTCCAGTTCCAGGGGATCCAACACCCTCTTCTGACCTCTGTGGGCATTGCACAACACACGTGCAAGCAATACATCGATACAAGAAAAATAATAAATAAAATATTTAATAAAAAGAATACAGCCACATGAGCACAGTACTGACAACAACCGCAGGAAGAGGGCACAACTAGCTTTATTTACAGTGAAAAAAAGAGACATAGTTTTTACATGCAACAAGGTTAGGATCTGAGCCCAGGCAGGTCTGTCTCCAAAGCTTATTCTCATTTCTAATAAACTCTATTTCAAAAACCAGAAACCACTAGGTATTTGGGGATAGTTTTAGCCACACAGTATAGTGAAAGATCATTCTGCAATGTCTCTGTAGTTAGCTATTAAAAGAAACTTTTACAAGACTAGCTGAAAGCAGACACGTTTTGGATCAAGGCATCGCTCTGCTTTGCACATGACCGAGAGGCTGACTAAGCTTCAGCTGAAATCGGTGACTTCACTAACTATTGCTAAAAGTGATCTACCCAGCCAGCTAACCCGGTGCCACCCCAGGACCCCTCCCCCAGCCAGCTAACCTGGTGCCAGCCCAGGACCCCTCCCCCAGCCAGCTAACCCGGTGCCACCCCAGGACCCCTCCCCCAGGCCGCTCTCTGAGACTGAGCTTCTTCCTTGTCCTTCATTTACCAAGAACATTTGAACAAATAACAGCTTCAGGTGCCAGACAGGAACTGTTCCCGATTCAACTGACATTTGTCCTCCAGGGCAAAGAGGTTTGAAAGTTCAGAAGCCACTTGCTAGCACTGTTCTTTGCTGCTGTCCTCGTCCTCTTTAGCTTAAATAAAAGCCAAGAAAATTTAAATTCCATGTAAATATTGGCAAATAGAAAGAAAACCAAGCCGTCTTATCTCTTGGTTCCAGCGATTAGAATTCACGTGAACCACAACCTGAAATCAGTTTATCGGGATCCTATTAGACCTGAAAGCATTCTTCTTTCTGGGTCAGGCTGGCCACAGAGGTGATCCATCTCAATGCCAAGGCCAAGAAATAAAGCAAGAATTTAAGGGGGCTGGGATGGGGACTAGATGGTGTCACCATTATCTATTTACAGAGGAGAAAGAAATGCTGCCCTCTGGAATGCAGGGTAGCAGGGTGTGACCTAGGCAGAAGATGGACAGTGATGCATCAGGTATAACAGAATGGCCAGCTAGCAATGAAGGAGCAGAGAGAGGAAGAGGGTCACGCAATGCCACCAGACGTGCCACACTGTGAGTTCTGCGCCACGCCACTGCAGTGTCCAAAATAAGGCAACTCATGGAATGACATGATTAAAATGATTAAGGAAATTTAGTCAGGACTGGAGCAGTCACTCAGTGGTTAAGAGCACTGGCTACTCTTGAAGAGGATCTGGATTTGGTTCCCAGCACCCACAGGGCAGCTCCAGTTCCAGGGGATCTGACACTCTTTTCTGGCCTCTGTGGGCATCACATGACCATGATGCACTTATGTACATTCAGAAAAAACACTCAGACATATAAAATAAAAATAAATAAAAAACATGCTCAGCATGATAACTCCATTTTTAAAATATTTTATTTATTATTTTTTATTTTATGTGTATGAGTGCATCGCATGCATGTGTAAGAACATCCATGCCAAGCACTCGGAGGTTAGAAGAGGGCGTCGGAGCCCCTGGAGTTATGGATGGTTGTTAGCTGCCATGTGGGTGCTGGGAATCAAACCCAGGTCCTCTGCAAGAGCAGCCAGTGCTCTTAACCACTGAGCCATCTTTCCAGCCCCAACTCTACTTTTTTTAAAGAAATTTAGTCAAGACATGGAACCAAAAAGGACATTTAGTCCTAGGGGAATTTCACTTGCTACCACATGCAGTCTCCACAATGATCCCGAAAGATGGGTGTCCTTTCCCAGGGACAGTTTAGGATAGCTCCAATATTAAAGGATAACATGAATCTGGAATGAGGTTTATTTGATTCTAAAGCCTCACTCTTTGACTCTGTGACAGTCTCAAGTCATTGTTCCTGTCCTGAGCCTCATGTCAGTCTGGCGTAACCTGCCTCAGCCCAGTAAGGGTGGGCAGGAATGCAAGGCCTCGGAATCACACTGTTCCTGAGACCCCACAGTCACTCATGGACGCCTACTTCTGCGGATCTCTCCTTTATCGGGCTCTGCATCTGGGCTCTTCTGTATCTACGGGCTGCAGGGCTGGCTCCCATCATCCTATGCACGTGGTGGAGGGAATCTTCCTCCACCCTCATGGCATTCTAATCCATTGGAGACGTATGACCAAAAGTTTTCACTACTGCTTCCAAGAGCTAAGGGGTCCTTGGGGCCAGGTTTGTCTTTTGGTGCCTCTTTTCCAATGTTATTCTCTGGGACTGTGTGATTAGCAGATCAGAGAGACTCTTCTTTCATTAAGCAACGGTTTTCTGAGTATACACAAAGCAGAAAATGTTCTAAGTTCTGGGAACATAGACATGATTCCTTCCTTCCAAAGCCCAGGGCTCTGCTCGGCTGTGGCAGTGAGTGCTTCCTGGTAGCAGGCCCATCTGTGAGCAGAGCACCTGATTTCTTCTCCAAGGGATCCAAAGAGGCCAGCACAGAGCTAGGTTCTGGCAATTTGGCTCAGTTCATTTCTCTTCATTCCCACAATTCGCTGCTGTCTTCTAGAAGTTTCTCTTCTAAATAATATTACTGTTTTCTTAAATGTA